ACTATTACCTTGGAAAAAGGTCGTATACAGTTTTTTTCTATGTGGAACACTTGAGGAGTAATCGATTAATTATTTTTTTCGTCGCCGATTATATTGCTTAACGAACGGAATTAAAAATGGCACGGGACGTCTCTCGCGTCTGGGTGCCTGGAACTACTGTTCTCTGACAACTGTTTAGTTCACGCTGCGACGAAGAAAAAGTTTTTGCAATAAACATTTTTCTCGTTCGCTGTTCGACGAAACGTTTAAGGTTTCAAAACGTGCAGAAAGTAGGACAGAAGTTTGCTCTGTATTTCTTACTTGGGTGGCAACATATTCTAGAGGACGAGGATTTTTTTTCTCAAAATTTCGAAAAACTTTCATATAAACTTTCTAAAGTTTCACGTTAGCAAGTCCCCTTAAATTACATGTTAATTAAAAAATCAAAACAACTCTGAATGTGAGTTATATGTCTGACCGATAGGAAAGGCTGATGGCATTAGAAGAACTTTTAGCGCAGAGGAAAGCGGCGTTTCAAGAAATGTCGGACAAAGTAAGAGATTGCGAGATTAAATTAAAACGCGCGGAGGATTTGATCGGTGGTTTGGGCGGAGAATACACCCGCTGGTCAGAGTCTGCTAAAGCCTTAGGAGAAAGGTAGACCCGATTAATCATTACTATACTGCGGATCTTATGCATTAGGAAATATGAAGAATGTTCAATTATAAGATAAACGAAAAGTGAATTTAAAATTTTTTTAACTGTTACTATGAACTGTTTTTTTTTTTAAATCCTACATGACTCTTACAGACTTTCTCATGCCAGAAACGAATCCGACAGCAGAAATCCTCCATCAAGTTTTCATAAAATGCATGATTTGGAGGAAAATTATAATATTAGAAATACAAATTAGTTCGGTCGATTTTTTATGGTGAAAAATGCATTTATTTCAGAACGAAATGAATGAACAGATTAATTGAAGTATTGTTCATCATTGGCTACTACTTTCTCCAACCTCTCAGGCAATTTTCGAATCCCATCTCGAGAAAATGTCTCGTCTTTTCAGGCGATCCAAGTTAGGAGCTAATTTTCGATTTCTGCGAAAGAAATGAACTGGTGACCTGCCAAATCATGCTGCATCCGTCGGAACAACCGGTAATCAGAAGGAGCAATGTCCGGAGAATATAGCGGGTGCGATAAAATATCCCACTTGAGCGTTTCCAAATATATTTTTACAACTTTTGCGACATGAGGCCGAGCGTTGTCATGCAGATGAATAACTTTGTCATCTCTTGTGCACCCAATTGCCTTGTTTTTGTATCATTCCCATGGATTTCAATCGTACAGAAACTGCTTGTTGAGTCACTCCAAATGATTCTGCAAGCGCCTCTTGTGTTTGACTCGGATCTTCATCGAGTAATGCTTCCAGTTCTTTATCTTCGAATTTTTTTGGCTGTCCAGAGCGAGACTTGTCTTCAACGCTGAAATCACCATTCTTGAAACGTCGAAACTATTACCTACATGATTTATCAGTTAGAGCATTATCACTATAAACTTCCACAAGCATTCTATGCGCTTCAGCTACACTTTTCTTCCAATTAAAGCAGAAAACTAAAACCTCGCACAAATGCTGCTTAGTTAACACAAAATTTGACATATTCAATACAGTAAAAAACAAGGTTTTAGTATGAGACTCAAAGCGATATAAACTGAATATTATTGACAGATGTTTAAGCCGCTGAAATGAAACATTCATGTTTTGAAAACCGAACTAATTTGTACTCCCAATAACAGCAATTCTACTCGCAGATTCTCCTTGGCATGAGAAACTCCACAAGAATCACATAGCGGCAATTGCAGAGAATGAAAAACGTCTTTTCGTTGAACTGTTTTATTACAGTTATCAGATTATGATCGTATTAATGCCGATTCGATATTTCTCAAGGTACCACCGATTAATGGGCGACGTCGTGATCGCTTCCGGCGTGATTGCTTATCTGGGCCCGTTCACTATGCCGTTTCGCATCGAGCAAATAGCTATGTGGGTGCAACGGTGCATCGACTTAAACGTGATCTGCACCAAAGACTTTCAATTGCGGGATATTCTCGGAGACCCTGCCCTAATTAGGTCTTGGAATATCTTCGGGCTACCGAAAGACGCGTTCTCAGTCGACAACGGTATCATTATCACGTAAGTAGATTCAAGAATCCTTAAGAACAAAATGAAAAGCAGACATGCACAATTTTTCTTAATTTAAAACCAAATTATCATTCTCTCTCCTCTTCAGACCAAATTATTAAATAAAACAAATTAATATTAAACAAACCAAACCTACTTAGCTTTTTTAGCTTTAAGCTTTTTTTTATTCAAAACCAGTCATT